ATATATATATATATAATACCCTGCATTATGCTTCCCGAATAAAGGCACTTTGGAAAATCCACGTGGTTATAATATTTCGTAGAAGATCATCAGTGTTCAGGTTCTCCTTGGCTGGAGATTAAGGGGATGGGGAGACCCTACAAAGAAAGCCCACCACCCCATCCCCTAATAGGGGGCAGGAACCTCAAATTGTGAAGAATATCCAGAGTCAGTGACCAGCAATTTGAATTCTTGCTTTTCACATGGCCTGCTTTTTCTGTATTACATTATTAATCCCTAATTTAAGCCATTTGGTCCTTGATGAAATACTGTAGTTCGTTTAGTGACTGTTCCTTTCCATAGAAAGAGTCCAAAAGATTACTAAATGGGGAGTGAAAAAAAGATTTTGAACCTTGTCAAGTGCAGCTAGAATGCAGACAAGGAAAGATATCTCAATCTCCACAAGAGAAGGAAGAATGGAAAAGATGATGGCGCTAGAAAAAATGGGAAAAAAAGACTGTTTTAATTAGATATGACCCATTATTTGTACTTGGAAGCTGCTTCTAAATTTTGTGCTCGAGATAGGAAAAAATGAACTCTCGATGCTTGATTTTGCTTCTTAGGCTAATTTGTTTTTATAGACATGGCTAATAATGACTAAACATGCAAAAATAAAAAGTTGAGGCTGTAATTTTATTTTGCATTTTACTGTGCAGAAAAAAAGATGTTTTCTTTCCCTTTATCCTACACTTCTATCCCATTCTTTTCCTTCTCCATTTCACTTATTTCTTTATTTTCATTTGTACTTTTCACTATTATATTTTTGATTAAATTTATGGGAAAAAAGGATAGAGTCAAAAAGAATATTCTGTGGAGGAGCTAAAGTATGCAGAGTGGAGCAATAAAGATGATAAGGGCTCTGGAGGCCAAACAGTTCAATGAATTTGGTATGCTTAGCCTAACCAAGGGAAGGCTTAGGGGAGACACAACAGCCACCTTCCAATACTTGAAGGGCTCTCATAGGGAAAAGGGCATGGATTTACTCTCCATAGCACCTGAGGGAATAACAAGAAGCAAGCCTCCCTGAGTTCTGGGTTATACATCACTGGAGGCTTTCAATAACAGTTTGGACAACCACGTTTTCAGGATGGAATAAGGACTCCTGCCTAGGGCAGAGGATTGGACTAGCAGACCTCCAAGGTCCCTTCCAGCCCAAGGATTCTATGATCTCCACTTCCTGTCCTGACCTGTAAGAGTTGGCTGGCTGGCTGCTGAAGCTTCTCTTCTATCTCCTGGATGAGATGGTCAAGAGAGCGCACTTCCTCCATGTGCTTGGCCAAACCCTTCTCCTTTCTTGCCATAATATCCTTCTCCATCTCTTCCATTCTAGCCAGCAGAAGCTTCTCCTGTCCTTCCAACCAGAGTTGTAGTTCTCTGAATTCAGCCACTATATTTTTTTTGTCTTTTTCAATGAGATCCTGGAACAAGAAAGGCATTCTTTTATTTTAATTATTTTACTTAATTATTTTTATTTTAACTGCTATAATAATTAAACGGATTCCCTTCCAGAACTGAGGTGGGAGACTTTCCTAAGGAGAAAAATAACCCTTTTGATATAAAAAAGGGCAGAGGGGAAGGTTTCTAAAAATAAAAAGGTTTCGGTTTAAATGATCTCTCATGAAAATTTTCTTGGCAATCAGGGATTCCAAAAAAGGAGACAGAAAAATGTTTGAGTTCACGATTTTTTTCAATAAGATGAAATACAGTTTGCATTTATTATGCCAACCAAACCCCTTCTAGAAAAGAGGGCTCATGGGATAGCTGCAGTTAACTCAACTGTGACTCATTCAGGCAATGGTGACAGCTCAGTCCCCAGGTTAAGAACAGGTTCTGTGTCCTAATACTGTCTTTAGCTTGAATTTCCTTTAAGTCAGAACTTGTACTTGCAAACAGGCTGCCTATTATCCAAGATGGCGGATGGGGTTCTCCTTCCTATTAGCTCAGAAGCTCCTCAGCACTGGATCAATACTTACAAGCATCTCCTGCACTGTTTGCTCTGTGTCTCTTTTGGAAGTTGCTATTTTTTCTTTCTGCTCCTTCTGAGCCTTCAGGCAATCCTCCACCTTGATCTGAAGAGAAAATACAACTTTTGAGTTCCGTAAAGAATTACATTGGAGGGAAGACCCGTTTACATTATAGATGCAATCCTCATAAATACATGGCAGTTGCCAAGCGTCCGAATTTTGATCATGTGATCACACATGACATACTTTTGTACTTTATACAAAAGTACCAGTATGGATTTCAAAATGGAGGCAATGATTCACCCAATTTGGAGCTTACCAAAATGATTAAATACAAAGACTTATTAGACCCACAAGGAAATTTGAAACTGAGGCCGGATCTTCAGGAGCAAGGACATAAAATTGATCAATGGGTTTACCTCCAGATTCAAAGCAGATACAAACAAGACAAAAAAGAATTTGGAATTAATAACAAACTGCAACAATTAGACAAAATTTTATTAGGATTGATGAGTTGCTGGTCCCAGTGCCGGGATGAGGAGTCAGCTGGTAGCCACCAGTTGATGAGTTGCTGGTCCCAGTGCCGGGATGAGGAGTCAGCTGGTAGCCACCAGTTGATGAGTTGCTGGTCCCACTGCAGGGATGAGGAGTCAGCTGGTAGCCCACGCCTGGACTGACTGCCCAGACGGGCTTCTCTCGCAGAGGCAATGAAGACAAGGACACAAAGGCATGTTCTTGGGGGAGGAAGCCCAGAGCAAACTTTGCCCCTCTCTTTTATTGTGCAAGTTTAGGGTGGGGTTTAGGGTGTATGAGGAAACATTCCTTTTGGGTACATTTGACCATATAAGGCTATGTATTTGCATATTTGACCATATAAGGAAACTGACCATATAAGGCATACTGACCATATAAGGTAATACCTATGTTGACCAATCATAGCTTTACACGTGTTGTTGGTTGTTTTGTTACCTGCCTCACTATGTTGACCAATCATAGCTTTACACGTGTTACCTGGCAGGTATGGTATCATTGGATCATTGGGTGATATTGCAACAAGGATCCAATAAAAAAATACATAACAAAATTTTATAACTACTTATTAGAAACAGAACTAGAAGAAGAAATTGTAAAAGGAAATATGATTGCTTGGAGTAAGAACATAGCATCACATTAGTGGAATGGGAGAAAGTTTGGGGTAGAAACAATAAGATTACCAAATAGGCAACATACAAGGAAAATCTTTATAAAATGTTTTATAGATGGCATCTCCCCCCTTCAAGATTAGCGAAGATGCACCCCAACATGAGTCCGCATTGCTGGAAATGTAGGAAAAAAGAAGGAACCTTTTTCCATATGTGGTGGTCTTGTGCAGAAACCCAAAAGTATTGGAAGAAAATTAAAACTTGGTTGGAAGAAATCACTAAAGAGCAGATCGAATACAAACCAGAGTCCTTCCTACTAGGGATTTTTGATAAGCAAATCTCCAAAAAAGCCAAATACATAACAATACACATTTTAACAGCAGCCAGATTAGCCTTCGCTCAACAGTGGAAACAACATGAAATTCCATCAGAAGAAATGATTATTGAAAAAATCTCAAAATGTGCAGAAATGGATAAATTGACTTTGGCGCTAAAAAACAAAGACACTTCACTATACTAGGATAGCTGGAATTGTTGGTATAATTGGATTGATCAAAGATAAATTATATATCATAAGGCATGAAAGAAAAGTATCAACCTATAATAACAAGGTAGCGATATAAGTTAAAAACAGGTGTGGTTATATGACACAAATTAAGGTTATGAAAACAAAAGATCTTGCAAACTGTTAAAATAAGAATACTTTTTACTTTGTAACCTCTTTCTTTCTTCCCCCTTTCTTTTTCTTTCTTTTCTCAAAATTCTTTCCCTCTCTTCCTCATCTTTCTTCTTTTTTTTCTTTTGCTTATTTGTGTATGTATTGTGATTGGTTTTAATTGTAAAAATTAATAAACTATATTTATAAAAAAAAAAGAATTACATTGGAGGAAAGACCCAGTTAGATGATAGATGCTATCCTCATAAATCCATGGTAGGACTACCTGCAATGACATTAAATGGAGCTGCCTGAGTCTCCTGTTTGCAGTCATCCCAGAAGCATCACTGAGAAATTAAAGTTTGGGCTGATCCAGCAGGAGTGTTTTTCAGGGTCTGCACTCAAGATTTTGGAGGACACCATCACAATTTAGCTCAAGAGCAAATGTGGAAAGGGAGCTGGTACAAAAGGGAGCCTATTTCTCCCTACAGGCAATTTTCTTTGCTAAGCAAGACGGGGACACTGCAACCATCATTAATACTTGCCATTCGCCAATCACCCCAAT